AAATTAAATGAAAAAAGGGGGAAAAAGTCGAATATGCCCCTAAACTATTTGAAAAGGTCTAGATATACCCTCTGTTTAAAGTTGGGCTCGCTCATGCCCTCGCTGTCCAAATTTTGGCCCCAGATATGCCCTTATGGCCGTTAGTGGGTATACTGGACATATCCAACTCATTTTTTATTTTTTTAAATGTCACATGGAATTGTCATGTCATTTTGACTTTATCACATGTCATTTATATGAAAACGGAAAGAGATCAATTATGAACCTAAAAAGTTCTGAGACATATACACCTAATCCGACCCATAAATTAGCCACTTTAAATAAACTATCTAACCCATTTTCAACAATTTTATCTAATTTTTTATTTTTTCCATAAATTCTAAAATGAATAATTGATTAATAAAAAATAGAAAAAATATGAAAAATCATAAAATTAGCACCAAAAATTCAGAAACAAAAATAGTAACCTTAAATTCAACAATTTTAACACTTTTTTTATTTTTCGATGAATCCCGAAAATAAGTAATTGATTAATAAAAAATATGAAAAAAATATAAAATTAACGTCAAAGATTCAAAATAAATATATTAACCAGAAATTCAACAATTTTAATATTTTTTTGGAAAATCCCCAAAATGAGTAATTTATTAATAAAAAATATGAAAAAGAAAATATAAAATTTATGGCAAAAATTCTCAAATAAATATAGTAATCTTAAATTCAACAATTACAACAAATTTGTTTAAATTTAAGGCTAGTATATTTATTTGTGAATTTTTGGCGTAAATTTTATTTTTATTTTTATATTTTTCCTTTTTATTAATAAATTACTCATTTTCGAGATTTATCAAAAAAATAAAAATTTAAAAAAATATTAAAATTGTAGAATTTAAGGTTGCTATAGTTTTTTGTGAACTTTTGGGGTTAATTTTAGATCTTTTTCATATTTTTTATTAATCAATTACTCATTTCGAGATTTTAAAAAAAAAAAATTTAAAAAAATTATTGAAATTGTTGGATTTAAGGTTGCTATATTTATTTGTGAAGTTTTGGCGTTGATTTTTTTTCCATATTTTTCCTATTTTTTATTAATCAATTACTCATTTTCGGGATTTACCGAAATAAATAAAAATTAATCAAAATTGTTAAAAATGGGTCGGATAATATATTTAAAAGGGAGATTGATTTATGGATCGAATTAGATGTTTATGTGTCCGAATCTCTTTCCATTTTCATATAAATGTCATGTGTTAAGGTCAAAATGACATGACAATTTCATGTGACAATTAAAGAAATGAGATGAATATATCCAGCATACCAACTAATAGCCATAAGGGCATATTTGGACTAAAAGTTGGACGTCGAGGACATGAGTGAGCCAAACTTTAAACGATTGTATATATAGACCTTTTAGAATAATTTAGAGGCATATTTAACCCTTTTCGTAAAGAAAAAAGAAAAGAAAAACAAGAGAGACATCGAAAACCTTATGGGATTATTTGGTGATTGGTTAGGAAGTAAAATTGTCAAGTAGTAAAATTTGTATAATCCAGCATCATTTTTTATACTATTTTAAAATATGCATAAAAATGGTACGTTATTTGCTAAATATTTAAACATTTCATATAACTAAAACATATATTCCCTTTTCAAAATAAATGATGAATCAAAATAACTAATAACTAATATATAAATAAATAATTTTATATAATTAATTTTTACGCTACTAATAATATTCACATGACTCTAAATCAACCAACAAAAGACCCTTAAAAGTGTTAACTACTTGTAGAATTAAGCAATTGGGATTATCAATTTATCTTGTTTGGAGCACCTAAGTTTTTCTTTTTAGAAGTTGGGAACCACTTTTTTCTCCTCCATCAAGACAATTATAATAAAGTCTTGTTTCATTTTCAATGTGGGTTTAATTGGGTAGGTATGCTTCTTCCAAAACTCTTATCTTCCTTCCCACTAAATTCATTTCATCAACTAAGGGATCTTCTTTTTCCCCTATCTTGAAAGTTCTCATTATTAAATTAAGCACAAAAGTTGGGTATTATTAAGTTCATTTTTCATACTCTTGCCCTTCATATATTTATTTATATGAAAAAGAATCTTAGGCCTACTTACGTGGATTCACCATAAATCTATATTCTCTTTTAAATTTATTTATTTTCAAAATTAATTTTTATATATATAATAAAATATTATTTTTTTTACCACTAAGCCACAATTGTTTGTCATATAAACATATAAAATTGAAGAGGTAAACTTCTTATGACATGGTGTGTTGATTAGTTCACAGTCACACCTCAATCAATTCTATCTCATAGTTTATAAGTGTACCAGCAAATTATTTCATAAACATACACTCCTTATTACTTCTTTCGCTATTTTAGTTATTCCTAATTACTTGTCTATTTAATAAATTAAAGAAAGATCATTTTTTTTATCTATTATATCCTCAATTATTTACTTTGAAAAAAATAAAACTTTTTGAGAAATTTAAATTCATAACTCACCAACTTCACAATTAATAGAAGTAAAATGTGAAGTCAATATCTCAATTGTTTTCTTAATAAGTGTGTCAATTTAAAAGGCAACAGGTAATTAGGAATAGAGAGCGTATATAGTCTGATTTATGAAGCGGAGACTAGATCGTATCCTTGTCTACTATCGTTTGGTAGGCCGCATTAGAAGAAATAATTCATGTATTTGGCAACGTATTATCTAGTACTATGTTTGATATGAACTTGAGCCTATGTATAACTAATTCATGGATTTGTTATACCTCCTACATGCTATTATAAGATGTATCACTAATACCTTCCATTTGGAGGTATTAGTAATACATAGGATATAATACCATGAGATAAGTCTATGTAAAGATAAAAATACCCCTCAAATCATTTTCATTATTTTTTTTATTTTATGTAAAGATAAAAATACCCCTCAAACTGTCTTTTCGATTTTAAAAGTAGATGATTATCTTTATAAATTGAAAAATGACATTTGTGAGTAATCAATTTATTAAGATGACAATTATTAATTCTCAAATAGTTCAAGTAAAAAGTTAGCAAACATGACAGCAAAATTGTTCGATAGCAAAATTGTTCTTCTCATAACTACTTAGAAGCCTTAAAAAAATAATTTTATTCGGACATTGTCTACCTTGACCCAATTACCTAATAATGGTATATTTGCAAAGAAACTTTTTATAGAGTTTTAATCCAAACACAAAATGAGGTAGGAAATAATGAATCAAACACTTGAATCTTGAAAAAAATAAACCCTGCATTACTAATTTCTATACTACTGTTCCCTATATTACTAATCTCTGCATTATTAATCAATGCGTTATTAATTTTTGTACCAAACGACCCCAAAAGGAATAGTTTCTTACTCTCTTTAGTCCATATTAAAGTCTCCTTTGATTATGGAACAAGTAACTTTAAGATTAATTATCGTAAGTTTAGTTATTCAAAATTGCTATTTCGTTTTTAATATTGAGTTAAAATAATTTTACAATCTCAGAATTTTAAAATTTCTGAACTGAATTCTAAAATAAATAAAGGGAAGTATTTTCTGTGTTCAATAATAGTTATCCATTATATACTAAAATAGTTGTTCAATAATAGTTATCCATTATATACTAAAATAGTTGTTCAATAATAGTTATTTAATTTTAAAAACAAAGAGATAATCTATCTTTTGTGCCTATTTTACTTTGTTATCAAATAGTATTATTTTTCAAAGCATGAAATTTAATAATGCATAATACATATATTGGACGTTAAACTTGAATTCAAATTTTAACTTTGACCTCCAACTTTCATAGTGCACAAATAGGCACTTTAACTATCCTATCTTTTAATAAGTAAACACGTGATTCCTATCTGGCAAAACGCATGAAAATTACGTATTCTGTGTGCGTGAGGAGTAACTTTTGAGGCACACAACAGTAAAAAAAAAAAGCTAAAATGACAATTCTACCATCCCGGGTTCCGGCCAATCTCCGGCAACCCAAAACCTCCATTCATTTTACCCAGCAGTTCTCCTTCTTCCTCCACACTGGAGCACAACCCATGAAAGGAACGAACTTCAAGCTCGCTAAATCCACCCAAATACCCGACCCCAAACCCATCAGATCTGCTGTCTCCGCCGAGAATCATCACGAAACTGCTGCAACGAGCAGCTCAAATCAGACACAAAACAATAACCAAATGACCTCCAAAACCCCATGAAAACAGTCCTAACAACCACAAAAACCTAAACCAAGAAGCCAGCAACAAACCTTTAAGCTTTTTCAAACAATGAGCTCTAATGTCTAAAAAATCATAAATTAAAATTAATTTTGTTTTTTTTTAGTTCTAAATTCGACGTGTAAAATATTCAACTAGTTGGCAGTCATTAAGTGGCTCACTAATACACGTTGGAGCGTTTGTCTTTCACGCTCTTTGTCTGTAACAATCACGTGTTTATTTATTTAAACGTAGGATAGTTAAAGTGTTTATTTGTGCACTATGAAAGTCGGAGGTCAAAGTTAAATTTGAAGTTAAGTTTAGGGTCCAATATACGTATTATGCCATTTAATAAAGTCAAAGATAACACCCCTATTATTGATTACTCCTTTCGTTTAAAAAAAGACTGATCTAGTTTGACTTAACATTAAATTTATAAAAATGAAGAGACTTTTATATCGTGTGATCATAAAATAAAATAATATCATATATATAAAATTACATTTTAATTTCGTGATGTTAAAAATGCTACGTGAAAATATGAAAGTAAAAAAAAATAACACTTGTTGAAACAAATTAGAAAAAGTCATTTTAATTAAAAGAATGAAAATATTTCTTAATGAACAACTATAGTTAGTAATGATATCATTCCAAGTGTACTCGAAAGTCATAAATTCTAATAATTAAGTTAGGTGGGTGATCTAGTCTAGTGTAGTCATATACTATATCAAAATTGAAGAACATGTCCAGAAAAAAACAAAAGAAGGTGGATGTGGTGAGCCATGTATAGGAACTTGCTTTGTATTACATGTGATGACTGCAGGCATGTTTTTTGTTTTTTTTCTCTTTCTTTTTTTTTTAAAAAAAAAAAGAATTGGAGAAAGAAAAAGTAGCAACTACTCTTCCTAGTATAATAATAGTACTAGTACAGTAATAGCATTTATTCCTTTTTCCGGTGGGAGAAAACAGCACAGATAGCATCAAAACTCAGCAGATGTATGGATCCATCTTTCATTATCCAAACCAAAAGGTCTCATCTCTGTCACTAACTTATCTCATATTTCTATTCAAGTTTTCATCCAACTTTCTGTTTCAAACATATTATCTTTGAGCCCAAAAAAGTAGGTCAAATATTGCTTGCTTAGATCGTGTAGCTTTTCAAAAATTGGCTCCTTCAAATTTGTAAAATTCTACTGTTTGGTGCAAAAGAGCTTGGTTTTGAACAAGAGAAACAAGATATAAGTTTTTCATTTCCTCTTTCTATCCATTTTTTGGTGTTCCTATGGCTATTAGAATAGATGAGTATTTGGTACTTGTTTTGTATAGGTGGTGTAGGTTCTCAATTTTCTTTATACCAGAACTTAAATCTACTACATCAATAAATTATTACCTTATAAAAAAACTAGTGTTTTGTGCCTCTGCTTTTTCTCCTACTTGCTATGATGAAGTTAAACGTTCTTGTACATTTTCTTGCTGGTGTATTTGACTTCATAAATGGTGATTTTGGCAGTTTTTTCTGGAATCTTATGTAAAGCTTTGGTGTATAAATTTCAAATGCAAAGTCAATTTTTAGTGGTTGAGCCTATTCAGTTTTTTACTTGGTTTTAGTGGAATACAAAAAGCTCTGGAATAAAAATCTAGTCATTTGATTAATTGAAGGAGTTCTCGGATGAAGCTAAAGAAAGTAGTATGGAAAGCTTCTTTTCATCCTCACATCTTCTAGTTATCTCAGTCTGAGGCTTAAGTGTAAATTCTTGGTACATTGTAACATTTTTTAATTATTAAACAAATTCAGTTAATAAAGAAAAAAATTGTTTCTACTTTGTTGTATTTGTCAAGTACTCTTTGTTCTCTGTTGCTTGCTTCTGTTTAGAGGGATTCTGTGTTATAAACAGCTAGAAAAGAATGGAGGTCTGACATTATGAGTCAGCATTTTGTCTACTTGTCAGTCCTCACTGCTCCTCTTGGATCTATTTCTCTTGCAATGTGAGCTCATAGTTGATGGCCTAATAGATACGTGCCCTTAGTATACGAAGAGCTGATTCACCATACTAGGTTGACAACTTATTTGCTTGTTACTTCTTATTGGGTTGTAGTGAAAGGGTTGGTTCAGGGGAACAATATTTTTTTATTGGCCGACTTTGTGCTCATTTAGTTGATAAGGAGAATATCTAGACATCACTATCTATTGGTGTTCTTTGATTTTGGCGGAAGCACTAATCATTAATTAGTAGTTCTTCAAGTCATCATATTCAGTTTCTTATTTCTAGCCTGTCCTTGAGTGTTTGTTATGTCTATGTCCTCTAAATTTATGTCAGTCTGTCTAAATCTTCCTTGTCAATGTGTGGGTTTTTGCTCCCATTTAAACAGGTATCTCCAGTCTAGAGAGCTATAGTATACTGCAGTAGCATATAGGTTTTCCATATATTCGGTGTAAAGCTTCTAGAGCACCGGTTTTGAAGAGGATGCTAAGTTTCTCAAAGAAAGGTGGCCCTGGAAAAGAAGGTCAATCTTTTGCTCCTTTGTTTGTGAGTTGCTCATCTATGTGGAATTCCAGCGACAAAGCAGAATATGCTCCCTCTAAGAAGGTGCTGACCGGAGTGGAATCTGCATTGGAACATCACTCCGACATCAAGAAATCAGAATGCCAGTTCCAAGATCAGGATTCAACGTCTACTCTGTCAACTGGTCAATCTAATCATGTGGAGGCCGCAATGGGAAAAAGCAATACTGTTCTTCAAAATGTTGCAGTTCATCCAGGTACAAAATGAATGAAATGGAATGTAATCTCTTCTTAAACTTCAATTCTGTTGGACAGGTTGCTCGCAAGTTAAGAATTGAGATCTCACCTCCTGATACAAGAAATATTAGATGAATTTATTCAACTTTGTGGTGAAAACTTGGAATTTAAGTAACTCAAATAATGTTCTTATCAATATAACCCCAAATAGACTTTAGCAGGAAATTTTTAGCTTTCGTATTTGTGATTCATATAATTTATACATATGCTGGCGGGTTGACATCAGTTATGTGATGTTCTTCCACAATAGGTTGGGGTGGAACTTATGAGGTGCAAGCAGAGAGTGGAACAAACGCATCCCGATCAGGCGAAAGTGACACCAACACTCTCCCCCAGCCACAAGTGAATCATAATCATCCAATGGTCTGTAATCTTTTACTTATTTTCATCTTCTTTGTAGACTGGTCACTGGTATATCATGATGTCAGTTTGTTTCCTCATTTCCATATAGTTACTGTCATCCAGTGATATTTATCTCTCTTTTGTTCCTTTTTACAATTTATCTTCCACTACCTCTGTGTTTACTTGGGTTTTGGTGTGTTTGTGGAATAGATTACTATGAAGTTAAAAACATCTCTCCCTCTCCTTAAGTTCTTTCCTTTTGTTTCCTTTTCCTGTTCTTGCTTCCGGTGTCCTTACCCAGAGGAAGGAGATTCATAAAAAAAATCTGGTTTCAATGAAATTGCTCCATTCTTCTAAATTTAGTATTTTTCACCATTCCAAGTCACTACAACTCAGTAAATTACTAAGTGGCTCTGGTTGTTGGTGAATATAGGTTGACCCACATTGAAATTAAGTTTGTTTCTGAAGAAAAAAAAGAAGAAAGAAAAGAAGGGGAGAAAGGAGATGCATTATGTGGAGTGCACTTTAGCATTAAGCAATTTAGATGAAAAGATTACAAAAGCAAAATAACTTAAAATTAATCAATCACTTTTTTTATAGGCTTGCGTATCCTACCCTTTCGCTGACACTTACTTTGGAAGGCTCGTGACTGCTTATGGATCAAATGCCATCGTAAGTAACCTTTACTACATGTTATTTATCAATAAATATTTATAAGATTGCTGTCTTGTCTCTTTTGTGTTTTCTTTTTTGATTCAAAATCCAAATATAAGGTTACTGGAGTGAAAAAAGGTCAACTTGAGCCAGATTATCTCTGTGACTCTGCTTGATATTGCCAATGTCATTCCGACTTAAGTTGCATATTCTCACCTTTTCATGTTTGGATAATTGTTGCATTTTCCGTGTGAATATGTTTCTTTTTATGTATTCCTCTTTTTTCCCCTCTTCTTGGATCTGGGTGGGATTTGGTGCTTGTTATAAATTCTTTTGTTTGTCAGCAACTAACTATCAAAGTTGATGCAAAATTTGTATATGTTATATCATCCTAAGAGGAATAGTGAAAGCTAAAACTGGTCACCTTTGATGCACTTCTCTTGCTTGAGATAACCATTTGGTGATTGATTTCCAGTTTTTGAAAAGTAATCTTTTTTTTTTTGTTGTTGAACATTTCAACTTATCAAGTATATCTTTGGACAGTCTCTTTTTACTAATTTTGTCTTTGTTTTCTCACTAAACCTAGAGTTCTAATACTTGGGATTCTTCTGCCTCTAGCAAGCTGAAAGTAATTTAGACTGCATGGAATTATTGAAGTTAAAATATTGCCTTACTGTATAATCACATCTAAAATATACTAAGAGAAGTGCTAGTTGGCACGAATTGGCACCATTGTGCCAACAGACAAAAATGCCCTTTTGGCTCCAAAACCACCTAACCTTTCCTTCCAAAAAACATAACCACCTTTGACTTTTATTTTTTATTTTCTTTTGATAAATCTTGCCCATTTTTGTTCTATATTGATTTGATTTTGTTCAGTAGTGCTCGATGTTCACCATCCTATAAATCATAGAAACATAATTAGATAAAAAATAAATATAAATATTATCAAGCAGATTTTCATTAACAAAAACATAAATGCATAACACATACATGCACCACGCAATCATTGTTAAAAAAACACTTAAATTTTTTTAAAAAAGTTCAACTAAAACAAGTTTAAATAAAGGGACTAGGACTTTACCTCGCACCCATGTGCCTTGAACCAAAGACTACTGCATCAACCTATAGTTGTAGAGCTCTATATTATTTCTTGTTCAACCGTCCATCGATTGAGTTCCCTTTCTTTACCCCCCCTGAATTGAATCAACAATTGTATCAATGGTGGCACTATAACCCTAGGGTTACTGCGACAACTTTTTCATATAGGTTGAACATTTTTGTTAGGGGAGGTTATCCATGAGAAGTATTCTTTCAACCCAATGGTTACTTTTCCAATAGATCACCCATTGAAGCAGCTCGTACATTTCCTGTTTCATCGTCTTGCAAAACTCCCTTTTTAGAAAATGTAATTTCTTTACCCCTTCTAGAGAGGTGGTGAAGCTCATTGACTTTTGCTTGTTGTAAGGTGATTGGTTATCCATACTTACGCTTCTCTTTTAGTGTTTAGGGAAGAGGAAAAAGATGTTGTGAATGTTGAGGAAGAGAAATCACGCTCTATTCATATTTATTAACAAACAAAATGAAAAAAAATCATCCTACCTAATTATATAATTTTTTTAATTAGTAGCAAATATAGTTATTCTAGTCTAATAGTAATGTGCTATATTTATGTATGATGGGCTGTATGTTCGAATCTAGACTATGATTTTTAAGTTTGGAAAGAAATTTTATGAAGAAATTAAATTAAATGAAATTTTAATAATTACTCAATGCTAATTGTTATTTAATGAAAAATATAATCTTACGTGACAACTCTTAAAAACTTGTTATTAATTAATTAATGTAAGGTTATGCGTATATTATAGAGCTCGTTTGGAATGGCTCTAAAAAGTAATTTTTAAGTTGAAAATAAAAAGTCAAAATGACTTGCTCAAAAAAAAAAAGTCAAAATGACTTTTAAGTCTAGACATAAAAAGTAGGATCTACTTTTGGTTTTTGACTTATTTTAAGTCATTTTTTACCTTGCCAAACACTTTCTAACTTATTTTAAGTCATTTTTGACTTATTTTAAGTTATTTTTTGTACTTGCGAAACACTTTCAAAAGTAAAAGCTGACTTAAAAGTAGAGTTGATCAACTTTTAAGCCAATCCGAACACCTTCTTAATTACATTTTCAACAAGTTTAATTAATGTAACTACACATGTACATATCAATTAAATAATTACACATATACCGATCAATTAAATTTAATTACACATATAAACATATATTAAATTTTATTACACATATACACATCAATCAAGTTCAATTGATTCTTAATTACATTTTTCAACAGGTTTAATTAAGTTTAATTACACATACACATCAATTAAATTTATTTTTCAACAGGTTTAGTAAAACACAAACATAATATGCACATCACCTTACATTGATTAATTTGTTTTGAAAAGAGTGAAAGAAAATTCAACTCTTTTCAAATAGTATTTGTAGGTGCACTCAAGTACTATTGTTGAAGATGAAGATCCAATAATCCAATTCTATCGGATTTTTCTGCGTTATAAGTTTTAAGAGTTGTCACGTAAGATTATATTTTTCATTAAATAAACAATTTACGTTTAGTAATTATTTAAGTTTTATTCAATTTATTTCTTCTTGAAAGAAATTTCTTTCCAAACTTAAAAAATCATACATTAGATTTGAACATGAAACCCAGCGTTAGTAAACGCATCACCATTAGATTAGAATAACTGCATCTACTACATTTAGGGCGAATCTTTTTTCATTTAATTTGTTTATAAAAATACAAATAGAGCGCGAATTCTCCATCTAAAAAAAAATGAGCGCGAATTCTCTTTCTCAACATTTATAATATCTTTTTTATCTTTCATAAATACTAACAGAGAAGTGTGAGTATGGAGAGATTATACTTTCTTAAAAGGAAATTTTGCGAGACGATGAAACATGAAAATGAGTGAGTTCCTTCGAAAGCTGATCTCTTGGAAAAGTAACCATTGAGTCAAATGTTGTTTCTCATGGATGAATCTCTCCTAACAAAGATGTTTGACCTATATGAGAAAGTTGTCGCGGAAAACCCCCGAGGTTATAGTGCCATCCTTGATGGAGTTGTTGATTCAACTCAGGTGGTGAAGTGAAGGGGACTCGATCGATGGATAGTCGAACAAGAAACAATGCCAAAGAGCTAAAAAATTTCTCGTCCTTCATTTGCATATTAGAAAAGAACTATTGTATTGTTGCAGATCACTGGACAATGTCCTCATCTTCCGATTCTGAAGAATGTAATTTCGATGGTTCTTGAGAGACACCCTATTCAATGAGGACCACTGTCATCAACTTCCAACAATCTTATTCTTTTTTATGGTCTTATTCTTGCGGTTTCATGAGTTTCGAGACTTGTGGCAATTTAAAAAATGTGACATAGAAGCTTCCAATTGATGACTGTGCTCAGACACAATTGTTGTAACCTAACATGAACCATCAGGCATCACAGAGGAATTAATTTTGGCTTTGCAATCAACCCTTTTACTTGAATACCCAAGGGTTGATTTTCTACTCTTATCGCAAGCAAATGATTAAATACCTAGCGTATTCACCACTTTTTTTTGTGAACTCTTTTTAACAACACCAAAATTAGTTAGACGACTATGTTCTTCATAAAACGTGAAAAGAGATTCAGCACTGCCATATATTATACCTGCCCACAATGAGGTCTTCAATATATTGTTGGTCGGAAAAACTATCATCATTCATTGCATCTTCATCTTCAGTCCACTCATCCTCAAATTCATATTCCTTTTCGCCTAAAACACTTGGAGATGTCTTACTCCAGTTGACTCATCATCTCTTGATGAAGCACGTTTGGAAGATCTTCGTTCTCATTGTTAAAATATGTGTCAGGGTCATCACCATAGCCACAATTTGAATGTTCATCATGTTCATTTTGGTCCTTTGGACAACTAACTATCATTGTCACTTAACCCCAAATATTATTCAATATTTGAGTTAATTGACTATTATCATTATTGGGATCATTTTAATATAATTATACAACTTCTATTTATAAATGGACAATCAAATGGGTCAAAGGAGAAAGTAAAGATATTTGAAGAAAATAAAACTTAACTTAAAATATTTTGCGAAATACAGAATAATCATAATTTATATTATTTAGGATAAAATAATTAAATTTACATATGCTAAAGCTTTTCTTGGATCCTAGGAGACTATAATCTCAAAACATTCAATAAAATAGAAATTAGAAGATTTTTCATGCATGCATTTGTTTGATTTTTAAAAAAATAAAAATCATAATATACAAATTAAGAAAAATATTCTCATTTAACGTCTCGATACCTTTTTCGACTCTAATAATCTAGAAGTCTATAGAAAGTATCGGATTGATAACACACCCCAAAAAAGAGTAAGAGTAGTAAATTTTTCGAAATATTAATAAATTTATGGTTGGGCCCGAGCTTAGAATGTGCCAAATGGCAATAGAATGGAAAATATTCTTTGAATCTTGTAATCTTAAATGTCATGTCAATCCCGTAATATTCATTCATTTACTATACAAGCCAAAAGTTTATCATTTCTATAGAATTAAATCCCGAGTTATTGCGAAGTAAAAAATCAATGAGATTATGGAAATAAATATGCTTGCATTTATTGCTACTGGTTGGGGTACAGGCAGAGGCGGACCCACACAGTAATGTGGGGTGCACGTGCACTCGTTAAATTCGGGAAAAAATCATGTATATGTATGTATTATCTATCTTGAGAAATTGACATAAACTAAATATAATTAATAGTGCCCCCATAAAAAGTATTAAATGGTGCTTTGTACAGTGTTACAATCTATAATAGATCCACTCAGATAACTAGGGTTCAATCCCAAGTAGAACCTTTTTTGAAAAGTCTTTTTTAGCTTAATATTGGCGCACCCGTTTTTTTAAATCCTAGGTTCGCCTCTGGGTACAGGTTCCTTTTTGCTTAACATCGTTTGAGCGTTTCCTGGGAGCAAACATGGGTTACTTTAGCGCCTGGATTTTTCAAATCCTAGGTTCGCCTTCGGGTACAGGTTCCCCTGTTGTGTTATGCCGTTCGAGCATTTCCTGGGAGCACGACATGGGTTACTTCAGCGCACTGTTTTGGACGGCGAGAGGCAATAAAAGGCGACTAGGGCCTACCTCGCCACGCGGCAAGGCGAGCGGCGAGGCTCTCACCTTTTTGAATCAAGGCACCAATTAATACCAAAAATTAAAAACATTTAATTGCATATATAATATTCAAAATTTCAATAGCAATTACATATATTACAAATACTATAATAATTACTATAGAAGAATTAATTTTTTTTTTCAAAAACATAATGGACTGCAATCACAACACAATGAAAGCAGAAAATATTTTACAGTAATCCGGGACAAAACAGAGAGTGAAGAAAACAAAGGGAAAAAAGAGTAGTGAAGGTAGGAAGCAGTGAAGAGTGAGGGAGAAAGAGACGAATGGAGCAGCAACTCGAGGGAAAGAGACGAAGAAGAGAGCAGCGGCCGAGGAAGAGAAGAAGAGAGCAGCGACTGAGGAAGAGAAGAAGCAGCAGTGACTCGAGGAAGAGAAGAAGAGGAATACACGAAAGTCTGATAAAAGTTTGAAAATAGAAAAAACCTAGTATCATTAAGTTAAAACTTTTTTTTTTAAATCAAAATGGCGACGCCATTTTCGTCGTCATAGGGTCGCCTCGGGTCGCCTTGGTCGCCTCGCCTTGCCTCAGTGGATAATGGCGACACATCCTTGCCTCGCCTCGCCATTCGCCAAAGGTGCTATGGCGAGCGCCTTTCACAATACTGCTTCAGCGCCGTACGAGGAGTGTCATTAGGGGTGTAAAATGGTTCATGTTTTCTCAGTCGAGCTCATCGCAAGGGGCTTGCCTAGTGCGAGTTACCTCTCTTGTGTAGTTTGTGGGTCATCATAGTGGAGTATTTACTCTGTGAGCAATTGAAGGGTAGTATTGAGTGTTCCCTTGTCATTAAAAATGGAATTATTTGGAAAAAACTGTTAGGTGTTCTTTAAAAATGGAACAAGAAGTATTGACTAAAATATCTCTCTATTTTTATTAAGCATAATAAGTAGGGATGACAACGAGGCGGTGTAGGACAGGGACGATGCAGGTTGAGCTTAACCTGCAAAATAATCTCAACAATTAAAACAACTTAACAAATATTAAAAATTCAAATTCATCCTATAGCCAGGTAACTTATTATGTTAAAAAATGACTGCAGTAACTAAAAGCAAACTCAACAATAACTTACTAAATATAGAAAAAACAACATTCTCCGACTTAGAATCAAATTCATACCTGGCAATCTACGATCTACCCAGCGTTTCTTTTTTAAATAGACTTAAAAGGAAAAGTAAGACACAAAATTGAGAGAGATGATGCACCAAAACAGATAAGAGTGTCTTTATTAAGCACAAGAAACCAAAACAAATCTTATCTGTGGAGAAAGAAATGTTGCACCAATACAGGTCTCTTTGATGATGTCCAGCATCCTTATACCATGTGAACTTTGTGATTTGCAAATCCTATTGAATGCAACCCACAACTAACTTATGCCATCTCTTCCGAGCAATTAGCAGTTGTTTGTGCCAGTAATTCAATAGCAGAGAGTAGCAATTCATCCTGTCATCTTAATTACAAATGAAGATCTCTTCTGGAGCTCCTTGATCTTCAACTTAAAAGAAAAACTAGAATTTGTTTCACTTGGAAATGCATTTGTTGCTGTTTATATGTAACTCTTTTTCAATGTTGGCCTTACTAGATTTATCCTCAAATGGTTGGTGTCACCTCTACTAGAGTTGCACTTCCTCTTGAATGCACCGAGAGCTTGCCCATTTATGTGAATGCGAAACAATACAGTGCTATTCTCAAAAGGCGACAGGTCCGTGCCAAGCTAGAGGCTCAAAATAAGCTTGTCAAAGACAGAAAGGTACTCCATCCAGTATAATACTCTTGCACTTTCCAACAATGAAATTGTGGTCTTATCCCATCTTTTGTATGACAGCCATATCTTCACGAGTCTCGACATCGTCATGCAATGAAGAGAGCTAGGGGTTCTGGAGGACGCTTTTTGAACACAAAGAATATGCAGGAATCCAAGCCTTCATCTCCAATGCACGACAGAAATATCTTTAAGCGACAGGCAGGTGGCAACTTATCTAGTTCCATGGTTCAGCACTCAGAGAGTGGTAGTTGGGGGACTTCCACCCAATCTGGTTCTGATGTGACAAGTATCTTCAGTGGTGACAACATGTTCCAGCAACCAGAGTTCAGAGTCTCTGGCTTCCCTTTTCACATTCAGGAAGCTGAAGACTTCCTGCATGTTGGAACCTGACAGCACACTTGTGTTATCCATGGTGGCGGTGCCAATACAGGCTGCATTACAAATGCATTCTTATTGGTGCACACAAATGGATAATCGGCAGTTCATCCTTGGCTATGTTACTCTTCCTTTTCCTGAATTGAAATCATGAACACTTTTCCTAAAGCTTTAGTTGTGTTATGGTATATGTTTCATAGTTAAATGAGAAAGAGCGCAGGTTGGTGCCGCACGTGATCAAGAAGGGCAAGGAAAAGAGAAAAATATATTGGTCTTAATGAGAAACAGTGGAGATTAAGGCTGTAAAAGAATTCTCCTTTTCTTGGTCGAGCGTGTGTGTATCATCTTGCACTTCTAAGTCTGTACTTGTTAGTGTCATTTGCATTTGTGGTTTTCATTTCTGTGCTATGTATTGTATCACTGTTAATATGTTTAACTCAGGCTTTGTGCAACAAAATGAACTTGTTGAATCATTCTCATGCTTAGTACATAAACTTCTGAGGTTATACAACATGCATTGCTAACTACACAGAATATGCTAGGCATGTCATAGAGAAACCATATACTTAATAAAAATATTTGGATCTTCACCTTGTTTTCTAACCCAAAACTAGAATGCAATGATTAAATCACTAATCAACAAATTGTTTAATGCATTTTGAAACAAAATCTTCAACATTTTTATCAGATGTTCCACCTTCTTGAACAGCTTCTTTAGCCAAATCCTTCCATTTGAGTGCATTTTTCTTCATTTCTTTCCCTTCCTCTCCTTGTAACACTGTCCTCACACATTCCTCAATTTCTTCTCTTCCAACAATCCCATTTTCATTAACTTTAACTCTCACTCCTACACTCCAAACATCTTGCACAAATTTTGCATTTGTTGTTTGATCAGTCCATTGTGGCATTACCACCATTGGCACTCCAAAGCTCAATGCTTCAACCGTCGAATTCCATCCACCATGTGAGAAAAAACAACCAATTGCCTTATTAGACAACACTTGTAGTTGTGGACTCCAGTTTATTATTAGTCCTTTCTCAGAATTTTCATTGATGATTTTTTTGGGAATTTTCGATTGTTCGGAAATTTTAACCACCCACAAGAAGTAGCTACTACTTGCTTTTAATCCCTCAGCAATTTCTTCCATTTGTTTGTCATCAAAAGTAGACATGCTACCAAAAGCTGCATAAACAACTGATCCTTCTGGCTTAGTATTTAACCAGTTGATACATGTTGAAGAATCCACATGGAATAGATTGAGACCATACTCAATGTCATTTTCAACTCTATTGTCCATATAGAACGATGGTAGTGTTGGCCCTATGGTTGATAATGGGCTGATTTTTGACATTGTGTCTGCTACCTGCAATAAATATATTAATGAAAAATAAAATCAATTTATCTACAGAAGAGATGATATTGATTTGTTTACTCTATTGACTACTCCCTCCGTTCCTATTTACTTCCTACATTTTTCTATTTTTGGATACATTACTTTATGCAATATTTTAATTGGATACATCACTTTACGCAATGTATCAGGACGTACATGATATATCAAAACATTTTGGGGTGTATTCGAATTCTACCAAATTTTAAAAACTTTGGGAATTTGAAAAACAAAAAGGTATAAGATGTAATTAGCTCCTAGGGATTTGTATAGAATTTCAGCATCCACTAGGCGTGGAGCCAACCTTTTAGTTACGGTTCCATAGAATCCATGTTAATTTTAACTCGAACTGTATATTTATGTTAAAAGAAAAAAATGATTTAACATAAATCTCATAATGTTAAGAACTAATTATATTATTTTTCTACTTTTTTCAAAATTACAGAAAGTCTCTTAAAATTTATAGATTTTGGATATAGACTTTCGCATACATTAGCAGACGTCCGAATACATAGTGTCAGTGCCTGAGAGGGGAATGTATCAGAGAGGGAATATGATATCCAGATACATTATGGAGGAATGTATTCGAGAAGGGGATAGAGATGTATTGGAGTAACGTACCTGAGAAGAGATTTTTGATTTTTTTAAAATGATTGGAAATTTTTGAAATTATGGTAAAATAAGATGCGAATTTAGATAATTTTTTCTAAGAAATAAAAACATCTAATAGGAATAAATCATGTATCAAAAACCTAAACAAAAATAATTACTAAAATTCAAAACACCTGAACTAAAAAAGCTACCTCCTTTCTATAATATTAAAAATTTTCTTAAAAAAAAAAGAGGTGCATAAGTAAAATTCATTAAATAGATCAAAAAAATAAATAAAACACGAATAAAGAGTTTTAGTTGCTAGGGAATAGGGATTACCGATAAAGAGTAAGTTTTAAACTAACCTCAGCTTCCAACTTGTAGAATGAGTTCACAAATACATAATCAGCTTTGTCCACATTAGTAAATTGATTCAACACCATTTCAAAATAGGCTGGATACGTTCCATGTACGTAAATAAACGAAGGCATATCTCGAAGTTCGAGCTCTGATAATCCCGATATTTTCACGTTAGTCGAAGATATCGGTAACGTTAATTTACCATGATGAATATAATAGTAAATATAGTTCACCGCACATGCTTGAGTAAAAAAACATGCCCCAATTAAACCATACTTTTTAGCTACGTCTAAAGCCCATGGCATGAAAGCATCATACATGATGCAAGTAATAGGAAACTCCGATTTTTCATATTTCTTGATAAGATCCGCTAGGGATTTCGAGCCTATCTGCTCGAAACGTTCGAGGTAGGCGGCTATGCTGTCAGCATCAGCGTAGCCGCCTTTATCGAACCCATCGGAGACGGTGTCTATACCGACGATACCCGAATTTGGACGTGTGGAACTAGAAATGAAGTTTGTGATGGCTAAAGTGGTTTTTAGACCTTTGGAGACTAAACGTTTACAGAATTGAAGCATAGGGTTTATATGGCCTTGGCTTGGATAAGGAAGAGCCAAAATATGACCTCCATATTTTTTGGTTTTTATTACCTCCATTTCTTTCTTTATTTCTCTCTGTGTTGATTAAGTTTTTCCTTTACTCATCACTTGATCGAGGAAACGATATATATATATATATATATATATATATATATATATATATATATATAAATAAAAGAACTAAGGATAAAGAAAGATTTTTTTCCCTCTTATTTTTGTCATACTGAATATAATTATGAGAGTCAAATTTTTAATGTTATCATGAATTCATATATGATTTTTAAACATAAAATTAATATAATATCAAAACTATGGAAATATTTTTTAATTTAGTGTAAATTATTAGTCTAATCCTCGATCTATTGACAGTCTTAAAAATATTTCTCTACTTGACCAACGAAACTAATTAGACACACCTGTAATCTAGGACATGATATAAAAAGTAGTCTCAAATTCTCATTGGAGTATGAGATTCTTAATAAAAAGTCGAGAGAAGTGTTAAAATATAACTAAACTTTGTGAGAATTTAGGGGTGTTTTTCACTGATATTAATAGGACGGGAGTATATTTAAGTCGAGCTAGTAATGAGTGGTTTTAAGGTCAATAATTTGATGATTAATTAATAATTACACTAGTTTAAAGATGTTTTCAACTCTCTCTATTATTTTATTACAAGTCACAATAATTATTTTCTTTATTCAAAACAGAATGAACTGGGTTATTTTAATTCCCCTTTTTAATAATGTCCACTTCTGTTTTTTTTAAAACTTTAATTCTAATTTTTTTTATATGTCATGTTTAAGATTATATATATATATATAACTTTAATTTTACATCATAAAATTGATTTTGTTTTCTTAAATGTCAAATTAAATTAAAATATTATTTTTTAAAATAGAGAAAGTTATAACTTACCTAAAAGAAAAATATATAAAAAGATTGAGATGGAAAATTAGATTCTCAAAAGTGAAAAAAAGGTAGAGAACGTAATTAGTCGATAAATGTTTTTAAACAACTTTTATAGGATGATAATGTTGACCACAAATCTGAGGGACTTTCGTGTATAATTTTGCTTGCTCATAACGACAAAAAATTACTTGGTCTGCACGGATTATATAAAAACAATGAACTGCGTTGAGAATGGTGCAATAATAAAGAGATTTTAAAAAAGGAAAATAACTGTATTAGAGTTGTTTGGATTGAGTTTTGGCTTATAATTTATAAGTAAAAAGTAATAAGTTAGGATTTTTAACTCATGATTTTTAACTTATTTTTATTATTTTGACATTAAAATAAGTTTTTATAAACACTTTTTAAGTTTATCCAAAAATTTTAAAATTGCTTAAAAACTATTTTAACTTAAAAGTACCTAAAATAAATCAATTCAAACAACCACTTAAATCTCTTTGTTATTGCCTTATTTTGATTTTGATCCTAATTAATTTTAATTAATTATTTAAATCTCTTCGTTATTGCCTTATTTTGATTTTGATCCTAATTAATTTTAATTAATTATTTAAATCTCTTCGTTATTGCCTTATTTTGATTTTGATCCTAATTAATTTTAATTAATTATTTTGGTCCTTCTATTAATGGTGATAACTAATACAAACAGACTTGTTATTTCTGTCCAGGGCAATTATGATACTTCACATAACATTATATTAATAGTAGATTTCTTTTTAAGATTTACTGACAAGCACATTTCACAAGAAATTGTTCTGTCCAAACTCCAAAGTAAAGTGTTGCATTATACTCCTTTCTTTTATCATTATTTATCGTAATTTTTATTTTTAAAATTAAATTATAAGTATTTAAATTAATATTTTAAATATATTTTTATCGAATTAATATGTAAAAAATTGTAATTTATTATACTTTTTATATAGTTTTAAATATTTTTTTAAAATATCGAATTAATATAATATAATTTAACTTTAAAAATTAATTAAATTAACTTTTGAAAAAAACGCAACATGACAAATAAAAGTGGATAGATAAATTAAAAGTTAAAGGGTTCATTATGCCACATTAGAATAAATAGTCCATATATTATATATTGTATTATGTCTTACTAATACTTTTCATTTGGAGGTATAATACATATGATATAATACCATGGGATAAGTCTATGTAACGACAAAAATATCCTTCAAATCATTTAAATTATTTTATTTATTTTCATGATTTTATGATTTATATTTGTACTAGTAAATTTATTCAAATAAATTAACTTACAAATTATTTAGAGAGAATAATTTTTTCTAAATAAATTCAATATAAATTTGAAATGTGAGTTGTTTATTTTTACATAATGTCTACGGCCTTATCTATCTATCTATCTATCTATCTATCTATATATATATATATATATATATATATATAGTACTTGTATTTTGAACAATTAAAAAAATTACAAACATATTAAAATTACAATTTGCAATTTTTATGTATAAATGTAGATGGTTTATTCAATTTTACGATTGTTGATCGTCTCATCAATTTTAAAAATAGATTGTTTGTCTTTTTTAAATTGAAAAATGACATCTTGTGAGTGATCAATTTATTAAGATGACAATTATTTATCCTCAAATAGTTCAAGTGAAAAAGTAGCAAACATGACAATAAAATTGTTTCTCTCATAGCTAGTCAAAAGGCCATAAAAGAAAATAATATTATCCGATAATTATCTACCTTGATCCACTTAAAAATAATTCATGGATTTAATTGAAAAGAAGTTTATAGAGTTTTAATACAAACACAAGATTAGGTGTGAAACAATGAATTAAATACTTGATATGCATTACTAACTATTGCACTACAAATTCCTGCACTTTTAATTCTGTGTTCTTAGTCTTTGGACCAAATGACCCCTAAGTGTTTATAATTGGGTAATTCTAAATGACTAGAAGATTTGGTTAGAATTTAGCCAGAAATTTAAAAAAAATATTAACATTCTTTTTATTTATAAATGGTCAATTTTTTTGTTCATTTTTAATTAAATGGTATTAAAGTTAAAAGGATAAAAATGTTCACAAAGATAAAAATAACGTATTTATTTTACCTTTCGGGTCAAATTCTCGCCAAAAGTTTTTTTCCTACTTATTTTCTAAAGCTCTTTCTCTCTTTCTATCCCGTTGTAGATTTTTAAATTCTCGTTAAATGAGAAAATTCACTTGATGAAATTTCAAGAGAAAAATCATCGAGGAGCTCATATTGGAGTGATTTTTGCTCAAATTATGTCAAATTTTGATTTTTATTCTTTATTTTTTCGTTCAAGCCAGAGGTATACTTTCTTTTCATCTCTCTTCCATCTTCTTTTTACAGGCTTCAATCAAGTTTTTAATTTTTGAATCTTATTATTTTTATCTAATTTTTTTGTTAAGCTCTAAAATTAGTGTTTCTTTTTATTTGATATCTAAAACTTTTCCTTATAAAAAAATTATGAGCTCAAGATTAAGGTGGGTAAAATTGCAGTAACAATTTGGATTGACTTTTCAACTTTTGTATTAATCATTTTCTGTAATATGAATTGTGAAATCTATGAATTAATCTTAGTCTTGTTTATGATTTTGAATTACTGTTGGAGTTGATAGAAGTTATACAACTGAAAACCTAAATTACTCTTTGTCTCTTCAAAAATTCAATTTGGATCTCCTACAATAATCCCTAACATATTAAATTGCTCTTCTTTAGTCCATGTAATTAGATCTAATGTCTTCTTCTTTGTCATATAAGCCTTTTGAGTAATGGTACAATTATGAGCCCTCATCGCATAAAAATTTGAAATTCTTTTACTCCCTAACTTATATTAATTCTAAATCCTTCTATGTACTTCTTTGTTAAAAAATCAGAGTCGATAGTCTTGTTATCTACTTAATTTCCACAAGAATTGCTCAGGGTCTATTGTCTTGATCTTGAAAGGTTCATCTTGACCAACCTTTCATGCAAATATGAACCATTTGCAATTTGACACCTTACAAGATGCCCTTGATCTTGTGCTTTCATTCTTTTTGAACTTGATGTCTTTTTTTTTTTAAAACAAGAATTGTACCTCAACTGCCCACTTGCTATTACTAAAATCATAAAAAGTGCAAACTTAAATTTTGAATCCTCCAAATTCTTGGTTGGATTAAAAACAATGGATCTTTGAAGATATTCATCACTCGAATCTCCATGTAAACTCATTAACTCCTCATCTGATGTAGCACAATCGTCTTGAGTGTCGCTACGAAACATAGTTATCTTTATTTTTCCCATTGAAATCAAACCATTCTACTGTAGAGTCAATGGTTTTATCAAAATCACATCATGAGTTTTCATCTCCCTTGCAATAATCATAATAAGCGATATATCCATCAACATAGTTCATCACTGGATCAAAAACCCACCAACATTTATAATGTAGTTAGATAGTGTTCATATATTTGAGTATTCACTTGCATTTTTTGTGCGAAAGAAAAAGTAGAACATGTTAAGATGATTGTAGAGAAAAGGTAATATAGTAATTACATTACTAGAATTCTGTTATAACAGATTATGTAGTAGTTAGTTAGAGTGGTCAATCAGTTAGTCTATAAATAGTATTAGATACACTATATGTAATTGATTCTGTATTCATTGTAATCAATAAACATAGGCAGTTATTAACTCTCTATGTTAAGCTCTAAGAATCATCTAGAAGGTCTTCATTACTTCTTCAATGTAGGTTTTTTCATGGTATCAGAGCTACAGTTAGGGTGATTTGATCTTCAAAAGTTGAGTAGTGAAGTTGCTTGAACTTGATTTCTGCAAAAGCTCCCCAAAATTCCTGCAAAAGTTTTTTTTAGAATCTCTAAGGATCAACAATAGTGGAATTGGAGGTTACAGATCCTCGACATTCTCTATCTTTGTTACCATTAGATAACCCTGGAAATGTAATAATCTCTGTTCAACTCAGTGGATCAGAGAATTACTCGATTTGGATCAGATCAATTAAGATTGCATTGCGAGCCAAACGAAAATCAGGATTCATTGATGGAACATGCAAGAAGAGTTCGTTCAAGGATGATCTAGCAGAAGAATGGGAATGAGTGAATGCAACAGTCTTGACTTGGATTATGAATACAGTTTCGAAAGAGCTGTAAATGGGATTGTTTATAAAGACAATGCTCATGTTGTGTGGATGGATCTACAGGAGCGATTTGATAAGGCAAATGGATCGAGGATCTATAATTATCATAGAGAAATAGCCACAATTTCTCAAGGTAGTTCTGATATCTCTGCTTATCATTTGAGATTGCATCTGTTATAGGATGAGTATTGTTCATTAGTGCCTTCCGTATGTGGATGTCTTGCATAAAAGGATTTTAAGATTCATCTAGAACAACAGAAACTATTTCAGTTCATAATGGGTTTAAATGAATCCTACAGTGCTATTAGAAGTCAGATCTTGCTTATGATGCCATCTCCCTTTGTTAGCCAACATGTTATGCTTGTGCATGAGGAGAGTCAAAGAAAGATCTGCGAAACTAGTTCAGGGGTAAGAAATGAGTTGAATGAAAGTACATCCTTACAAGGTATTCAGGAAAATCAGTCACGAAGAAGAAAATCCAACAGTAACAATAACTATGGCAACAATTATGGAGGTAATAGTAGTTCATTTTGGTGAGATCTGTCAAAGGAAAGGCCATCATGAAGGTAATTGCTATAGGGTAATAGGCTATCCAACAGGCTACAAGGGAAAGAAAAAACCACTCATCAAACTTAACCACAATGTCATGGGTGAGAACAATTGGGGACAATTAAGACAAGCAAATATGATTGCACATGATTATGTCAATGACAAAGAAGATAACATTCAACACAAAGGGACTGTTCAAGGATCTTCTAAAAGTTCTCATAATGCCTGCAAGCAACAACTATACCCTCAAAGATCCAATTTCACACAGCATGCTGGAAACAATTGTGGTGGTAATATTCAGAGATCTCAATGTCATTCAAGAGTTCAGCTTGATATCAACAAATGAGAAAAATACTTCACAGGTGAACAATATAACCAGATAATGAATATGCTTGACAAAGGCAAGGGAATAGAGTTGGCTGGGAGCATAGCAAGTAATGCTTATTATAATTCCCCTTATATAAAACCTGGTAAGCCTTGGATAATAGATAGTGGGGCAACAGATCACATGACTAACAATCTGGATTTATTGAATAACTTGAGTAATATGCATGATCCCATGAAGAGTAGTATATATCTACCAAATGGTAAGAATGTGTCAGTTCATTATCAAGGCAGTTGTAATATTTCATATGATTATACCATTGAAAATGTGTTGCATGTGCCTGAATTCATATACAATCTGTTGTCAGTCTCAAAGATGACAAAAGTGTTGCAATGCTCAGTGTTCTTCTTTCCACATTTTTGTGTTTTCCAGGATATATGTACCGGGAAAGTGAAGGGCATTGGTAAAGAGAAAGGAGGTCTCTATCTCCTCTCTCCTAGAACTAGTGAGGAAGCTATTGATAAAATGGCAAATGCTAGTAGCAACATTTCAGAAAAATTGTCTGAAGATGTGCAAGTTTGACATAAGATGTTGGGTCATGTACCTGCTATTGTGATGAATAATCTCCATTTCCTAAATAATAAAGTGACACTTTGTAGTTATAATGATTGTAGTGTTTGTCCCTTAGCCAGAAAAACCAGAAAACCATTTCCTATTAGTGTTTCTAGAGTAACTGATGTTTTCCATTTATTACACATTGATGTATGGGGTCCTTATAGAGTCCCTAATATTAATGGTCATAGGTACTTTGTCACTATTGTGGATGATAATTCTATGAGATATGGGTTTTCTTAATGAAACTCAAAAGTGATTCATGTGTGTTACTTATCATTTGTCAAAATGGTTCATGTTCAGTTTATCAAGCAGGTGAAAATGATCAGGACTGATAATGGTGCTGAGTTTTTTAGTAAAGAATTTTCAGATTTCTTGGTCGAGCATGATATTGTACACCAAAGTAGTTGTCCACACACTCCACAACAAAATGGAGTGGTGAAAAGAAGACACATACATTCTAGAGGTGGCAAGGGTACTCATGTTTCAAGGTAATATGCCTATTTCTTCTGGTCTTTATTTCAAATGTCATTCCAACCTTGTTGATATTTCTTTTGAAATAGAGCCTACTTGTTATGAAGAATCCTTAAAGGATCCTTGGTGGATTTTTGCTATGCAATCAGAGATTGATGCATTAGTTCAAAATCACACTTGGTAGGTTGTTCCTCTTCCTAAAGGAAATAAACCTATTGGTTGTAGATGGGTGTACAAAATCAAGTATCAATCTAATGGTGCAATTGACAGATTTAAAGCCAGACTTGTTGCTAAAGGGTACAATCAACAATAAGGCTTAGATTATCAAGAAACATTTTCCCCTATGGTCAAAAAGTGGTAACTGTGAGAGTTGTTATTGCTTTGGCTGCTATGCATCAATGGCTCTTGTTTCAAATGGATGTGTATAATGCTTTTTTGCAAGGTGAATTTGAGGAAGAGGTGTTTATGCAATTTCCTCCGAGATTTGGTAGTCAAGGAGGTGATAAAGCATGTAGAGTCCTCAAATCTCTTTATGGTCTCTAATAGGCATCCATACAACAGAATTTGAAGCTTACAAATGCACTACTGTCAACTAGTTTTATTCAAATTCAACAGGATCATTTTTTGTTTGTTTTGAAAAGAATTTCTAGACAGGTGATTATCCTTGTTTTTGTTGATGACTTGTTGATTACTGGAGATGACAAAGACCTAATACAGGAGGCAAAAGATGTGTTACATGCACCTTTCAAGATCAAGGATCTTGAATCATTCAAGTATTTTTTGGGAATAGAATTATGCAGGTCTAAGAAAGGTATTTTGTTATGCCAACGAAAATACAATCTAGAGCTTATAGCTGAGTTGGGTTCGGGTGGCTGTAAGTCAGCACTTACACCACTTGAGAAGAATCAGAAGCTCACAAGCTTAGAATATGATCAACAATGTGGTCTGGAAGATGATCCACCTTTATCAAATGTGAAAGGGTATCAAAGGTTGATAGGAAAGCTACTCTATTTAACACTAACTAGGGATGATATTGCCTATAGTGTTCAGACTTTAAGCCAGTTCATGAGTCATGCCCTGAGCTACCCACGAGACGCGGACACGTAACCTAGGACCACAAGTGATCCCAATCTAACCCTGCTGGCATGTTCATGAGCATACCTGCTGGCATGTTCATGAGCATACTAGATAATATAAACTGTTGCGGAAGCTAAATCATAATTTACAATGAAAAGATGGGGAATACTCATATGCTAAAACTGATATATATGAAAACTGATGAGTTTAATACAATGAAGTTACTAACTCAACACTAGGCTGAAACTAACTATGTATGAAATAAGCCTCTAAACTGAACTAGAAATACTGGGGCAAGCCCCAGCTAAATCTAGCAAAAAATGAAACTAAATGACTAAAGAGTGAAATGAAACTCATAACTACTGTCCTCGGAGAATGAGAACTCACCACTGAATCTGCTGAACTGGAGATCAGAAATCGATCTATGTGTGATCTGGATGCTGAGAACCTGAACCTACATCATGAGAAGATGTAGTAGACGTATGCATCAGTACATGAAAGGTACTGAGCATGTATGATAGAATAAAGCCAAAACAACATATAACTGAACAAACATAAAAACAAGTATAATAATCTGACATGATAAACCAAATTTGAGTTAGCTGGATGCAGTGACCTATTTATAACATGCTGAAATTGAACACTGAATATACTAATAAATGGTCAATGCAGAGAGTCTGACTGATCTGTGGGAGCTACTAATAACCGATAATAAAACCACATGAGCTAAATGTGGAGTCCGATGTATACGCCATATCGAAAGGATCCAATATACCCTGCCAAAGGTATAAGGCATGTTGGCGTGATCACTAAACTAATTGCACACAGTAGAAACTTAAAACCTACTTGGCTAGTAGTTCTGGGACTAATTGGGTACGCTGAACCCTAGTCCAACTCAGTATTATGCTGCTCCCAATGAATTCTGTAAATTAACTGATTACTTCAAAGTTTCTATAAATACTGGATAGTTTGAAATTGAACATGCAAACTGAGAATGCAACAATCAATATGGTAATTATGCATTTATAACTGAGGCATGTATATCCGAAATGTCTGAAATATCTGACCTAGCATGTGTAATTCAAGAACTATAGAAATACATAGCTAGGGTTCTGAAATTCATGCAATAAACTGAATAATAACATAATAATCTGATTTGGAACATATAACTCATAAGTTCTCTTGAATTATAGAAACCCTAGATCAAATCATGATATGGGAATCAAGAATCTGACTGAAAACTAGGGACCCAATGGGTGAAAGGAACCCACTAGTGAAATCCTACATACCTGATGATGAAATTCACGGAGTTAGATTTCTGGGCTGGAACTGCTGGAAACTTGTTTTGTTCTTAAAGTAGGGTTTTTTTAGTTTTTTCTTCTTTCTTGCATCAAATTTTCTAACTTTTGATTCAATGATTTGACTAAGATATGTTTTAATTATGTTTATAGGCTTAAATTGACTAAAATTTGATTATTTAGGGTCAAAATGATGTAACATATGATTTAAACGAACTGGAAAAGTACCAAAAGACCCCTGGATAAGTTGATGTCAGACCAAATGACTGCTAGGACTGACGGTCCGTCGTCTGACCAAGGCCCCGTCGTTGGGTCCGTCGATTGGGCCTGTTCAACAGGACTTTACTAAAATGGGCATAACTTTTTACTCGGGGGTCTGATTTTAGCAAGATTAGTGGCTATGAAATGATAATTCAATTATCTATCTGTGGGTAGGTCATGTGATACCTAATTCATTTTATACTAATAGTTATGACTATTTGAAGTTGACCCAATTGCATTTCCCATTAGATGTTTGCAAATTTTTTAACTACGGACCGTGCTGGTCATCCGTAACTCTCGTCAGAGAGTGAGTGAATGGGGGTTTCAATCGATGGTCGCAGACTACGGATCGTCGTCTTACCTACGGACCGTAAGTCCGTCCGTTGTCCAAGACTTAACCATTTTTCTGAGCTGAAATTTTTGGGAGTTTCTGATCCTATCGACGGTTGTGCAGGACGGACCGTCATCTGACCTATGGACGTCGATGCCACCGTTTGTTGCACCTGCAAATTTTTTTTCTTTAATGCTTGTTTTTGGTCTATTTTGGCTACGGGGTGTTACATTATCTCCCCCTTGGGAAGATTAGTCCTCAAATGAAGACTGAACTAATTGAACTAGAGGGAGAGAGCTACAAAACCTAAACACTGAGAACTGAGTTTCTGACTGAATTGAGTTTCAATAACATGCAAATACACTGAAAATGCAAGTAAAAACTGAGGGAAAATGATTTTAAGGCTGAATTCACGCATGAATGACTGGAAAACTAAACATGACTATTATCTCAAGTAGGAGTGGAATTGGAAGGAAAGAGGTGAGGATACTTGGCTTTCATGGCTGCTTCTGCTTCCCAAGTAGCTCCCTCTACGGACTGACTCCTCCACAAAACCTTGACTGAAGCGACTTTTTTATTTCTCAACCTTCTAACCTGATGATCAAGAATCTCAACTGGTACATCCTCATAAGAAAGACTTTCTTTCACCACCATACTCTCTAATGGCACTATAGAGGCTGGGTCATCCACACACTTCTTCAAGAGTGAGATGTGGAAGATCGGATGCACTGCTGCTAATTCTGCTGTCAACTCTAACTCATATGCCACCTTGCCAATCCTTTTCAAGATCTTGTAAGGGCCTACATATCTAGGACTGAGCTTCTCTTTCTTTCCAAATCTCATCACCCCTTTCATAGGTGAAACTTTCAGAAAAACCCAATCATCAACTTGGAACTCTATATCTTTTCTCCTTACATCTGCATAGGATTTCTGACGACTTTGGTCTGTCTTAAATCTATCTCCAATGAGTTGCACTTTCTCCATAGCATAAATGACTGAATCTACCCCTATCAAAGCTGTTTCACCTATTTTAAATCAACCAACAGAAGATCTACATCTACACCCATATAAAGCCTCATAAGGGGCCATCTGATTACTGGAATAATAGCTATTATTGTAGGCAAACTCAATAAGAGGAAGGTAATCATGACAACTACCTTTGAAATCGATTACACAAGCTCTCAACATATCCTCTAAGGTCTGAATGGTAGCTCTGCCTGCCCATCCGTCTGTGGATTAATTATTGTACTAAGGTTAATTTGAGTACCAAGACCTTTCTGAAATGACTTCCAGAAATGAGAGGTAAACTGAGGACCTCTATTTGAGATGATAGACAAAGGAACCCCATGCAACCTCACAATTTCATTGATGTAAAGCTTAGCATAGTCCTCCGCCAAATCTATAGTTTGACCACTAAAAAGCGAGAAGACTTAGTCATCCTATCAACTATCACCCAAATGGAGTCATGATGTTTGTGAGTACGAGGTAACCTTGTGATGAAATCCATATTGATCACATCCCACTTCCAAGTAGGAATATTGATTTCTTGAGTCATGCCTCTTGGTTTTTGATGTTCTACCTTGACTTGCTGGCAATTGGGGCACTTACCCAAAAAATTTGCTATATCCCTCTTCATGCCATTTCACCAATAGACTTCTCGCAGATTGCGATACTTATTAGTGGCACCTGGATGAATAGAATACCTAGAGTTATGGGCTTGTGCAAGAATATGCTATCTAAACTCACCCACATTAGGAACACACAATCTACCCTGGTGGCGAAGTACACCATCTCCCCTTGGGAAAAACCTCTACTCTCTGATTATGGACTACACCCTTAAGTTCAAGCAAGATTGGGTCACTGTCTTGATTTTCCTTAACCTCCACTACCAAAGACAATTATTCCCTATTTTGAACTGTCACACCACTATCTGATATGCTCATAAGGCGAACTCCCAAGCGAGCAAGCCTGTGAACATCCTTCACTAGCTCTTTATTTTCTTCCTCAACATGGGCTACACTACCCAAAGATAATCTACTAAGATCATCTG